GGAAAGGTTAAAGCGCTTGGGGCTCTTTAGCTTGTGACATGATTGAGGTTTGTAAGATTATGCATGGGATAGAACAGGTAGAGAAAGAGGTACTTTTCTCCCTTTCTCACAATACAAGAACTCGTGGGCACTCCATGAAATTGCTGAGCGGTCGGGTTAGAACGGATAAAAGGAAGTACTTCTTCACCCAAAGAGTGATTAACACATGGCATTCACATGGAAGCAGCTACTGGTGAAGCCTTGGATTAGTCACAAGTTCTCTCGAGAGCAGTTTCTGTCAGAGCTCTCTCAGCCCCACCTACCTCGCACAGGGTGTCTGTTGTGGGGAAGGGAAAGGCGATTGTAAGCAGCTCTGAGATTCCGAGTTAAGGGTGGGGTATAAATCCAATCTCCTCTTCTCTTCTTTGTCCTCTTCTTCTGCTGCTGCTGCTTGAATAAGTCATATGCCTTGTTGGCTAACAGTACAACTCCATTTCGCCTCAGTCAGTGTCCATTGGAGAGGCATATGAAGATGGTCACGCTGGTATGGTGCGGAGAGGCAGTGTGATGTAGTAGTTAGAGTGTGGCAGTAAGATCTAGGAAGGCCAGGGTTCAAATCTACTCTCTACCAGTGTTCCCTTTAAGTTGAGTTAGTGTGAGCTAGCTCACAGTTTTTTAGCCTCTGGCTCACACATTTTTGTCTTAGCTCATGAAGGATGGCCCCAGAGCAAACTAATTTATGCAGTAACCAAATTGCTCACTCACAACTTTAATGCCAGCAGCTCACAGGGTAGCATTTTTGCTCACAAGACTCTACAGCTTAGAGGGAACATTGCTCTCTACCATGGATGAGCTCAGTCACTCACTTGGCCTAACCTACATCACAGGGTTGTTGTGAGGGTAAAATGGAGGAGGGGAGGACAATGTTGGAAGCCACTTTGGGTTCTGATTGGGGAGAAAACTGGGACAAAATTAGAGTAAAGGAACAGATTTTATCCTTTCCACACCAACCTATTGAACTGCCAGTATGTAATGGGATGAGATTGAGCTAATGTCTCATGGGTTCTCCAGTGTCAATGCTGGGACTGTGCAGCAGGCCAAAAAACCCAGGGACACAGGACTGCACCAACACAGCATAAACAGGGCCAAGCTAAGGGTCAAAGTCATGGAAGAATGCTTACCAACCATTGAGTGACCTTTCCTTGTGGTGGTTATGTATATGTCTGTGAGGAGATCAGTAAAATAATGAGAGACGGGATTTTTCAAAGGCAAAGTAAAAAGGTGCTGCATAAAAATCGTATGTTCTCCCTTATCATTGCTGTAAGATTAGAAATCACTAGGCAATGGGAAATGACTGCAGTGCTAGTTGTTGAATCCTGGTACAAGATGATGTGACTTCCGGTGATGTCAGGGGGTGTGGCCTTATGACACACTTCCGGTGATGTCAGGGGGTGTGGCATATGCTAATGAGTTATGCTAATGAGCTCTGGCAGCTCTTTTTCTACAAAAAGACCCCTGAATGCAGCTATACCTTTATCTGTCCATACCTCCTTGTTACCAACCACATCCTTTGCCTTTGATGCTCAAGGTCAGGTCAAATTCAGAATAATTAAAATTGGGTAATGTTGTGGTCCTTCAATAACTTTTGTCTATGTGCCATTAAATATTTGGAGTTCAGATCTGTGCAGGTATCAGCCCCACAAGCTTACTGACAGTGATGTGAGATACGATACACTCTGACATTTCACATTTCTAATGAAAGTAACATAGCCATTGGGATAACAAACTGGGAAATATTAAAAATGACTGTGTAGGAAAATGTGTTCATTCTGCAAATTCTGTGCATGGTTATGTAATTGTATGTATTATGATACCTCCATTTATTTATCTGGATCTAAATAAGTGCTTTTTCAAATGTTGGACCAAGGCTTGTGAATGAGCTGCCAGATATTGAAGAACTGTGTGGCACAAACTGTCAAGTTGAACAGACCTATATAAAGAGTGGAAACAAAATGTAAGCAACAGCTGTAGAGACAAATGTTACATTGTTGGTAATTTCCCTGCTCTAAAGTTCTCTTTAATATTTTGCAGCCCCTCTCATAGATGTCACACCTAGCCACAGTGGTTCGGCCATGTTGATGCTGCTCTCCGTGGTGTTTGTGGGCTTGGCAGTCTTTGTGATCTACAAATTCAAAAGGTATGAATGCTTGCTTTTTACTCTTCTGTTCATCTTTCAGATGTGAAAACATGATTCCAAGAGCTCCATAGCGTACCCACCAATGATGGTTTCTGTTAATGTTTTAGGAAGATTCCGGGCATTAATGTTTATGCACAGATGCAGAATGAGAAAGATCAAGAGATGGTCAGTCCAGGCAGTCAAAGTGAAAGCATGCCTAATGTCCCTCAGAGGGAGATGACCCCAGAACAACTAGTAGAGGAGAAGGTGGATTCCCAGCCCATAGGTAAATAAACTACAACAGCGAGGAACTGGTCAGATTCTGCATTCTGATTGGCTAAATCTATTCTGAGCCTTCCAGCCTTCTCTGCTGTAATGCTTAACTATTCCCACTTTTGTGTTAACCTCTTTAAATTACTTAAAGCTAACTCCAAGACCCTTTCTCCTCCTGATCTACTACATAAATATGAAAATCAACAGTGTTTTGTCTTCACCGTAGTAACTCTCCCTGTAGTTCCTTAGGGTTTCAGAGACAACATACTCATGCAAAGTAAATAAATTAAGACATTTTATATGGATTTCTCATGTCCGGTTTATAGTTACTCCTGTGAAGATTGAAACCACCCATAACAATGCTCTCCAGCTGCCAGGCAAAGTGCAAAATTCTCCTTACTAGCCGACCAAATAATTTTAAAACCACTTCATTGGTTAAAATTGTGCTTTCAAAATGTCATCTCATGAACAGAAATTGTAGATTCCCAACCCTGAGCATTTCCCCATGCATGCTGAAGGTTGCAAGCAATCTTGAAAAGAATATATGAAGACATTCCGGGGTCTTCCACAAGATTATCTGCTCAAGTTCAATGCTTTTGGGAAGCAGGTTTTTTTCTGCTTCCCCAAAGCATTGTGGTGCATTTGTGCATTTCTAGAGGTTTCTTCAGCTATTCCCTGATCTTTCTCAAACCTAATTTGCTCTGAAATTTTGGGAAAGATAACAGTAAAGCCAGGATGGCTGCTGTGTGGGTGGCTTGAGTTAGAATTTTCTGTCCCACATGACAGCCTTTTCCCCATGGCAACCATTTCCTCCCTCTTCTACAGGGGCTTTTTGTTTTCCAAAAAAAAAAAAAAAACAGCACTAGAATATCGTTATAGTGTTATACCACTGCAACAATATGTGTAGCAGGTTCTCTGCATTCCCAGCTTTCATTTTGAAAACGTAATTCTCTATCCTTTCCCTTTTTATAATGAAAGCCGAGAGTTCAGAGGACCTACTACACCTATCGTTACAATACTATAACAATATAACAATACTCTTGGGTTGATTTTAAAAATGTACATTTTGAAAAAATTGTAAAGCTCTTCGGGCCCAGGGAGGGAGAGATGGCCACTTGTGGGAGCAGGGAAACTGCAGGAAACCTGCCATGGGGAAGCCCTGTTGCTGCTGTACTTTATCTGCAGCTGTATCAGCAATGGGGAAATGACAAGATCCCGTCTCCATGTGGAAGACACCTCTATCTTACACTGTCCCATCTTCCTACCATGCCTGCTAGCAGAATTAGAAAAGGAAAGACTGAGGGTGTAACTCTAATAAATAACTGCAGAATCTAGGATAGTTCTGGAGCAGTACTTTAATGGTATCTTTTTTTTTTTAAACTCCAATATTTGTGATCGTTGTTTTTTTTTTTAGTGCTGCCAAATTAATGCTACATGTTTTGGTTTAAGACGGCAGCCCACTGGTCCCCCCCCTCCTCACATGTAACTCTTGTTTAACTTGCTTGATCCTAACAGAATATGTATGGAATTTCTTCACTTAACAAACTCAGTTTTGCAACCAAAAACAGATAGAAACAAACATACTGCATGTATGTGAAGTTTTATTTGATTACTTTTAATGTGCATGTTCATCACTGGCCCATTAGTATCAGGAAGCTGTTTTGTACCCTGAAACATACTTGGTGACAGTTAGATCAACAAAGAAAAGGAAATGATTTCATGAGGAGTTTTGATTTCATCCTCAGGTGTATTTGGGGTCAGAATAGATCTTTTATTCACCAAGACATATGGGCTAGTATGAAAACAGATAATATTCATCAAGCATTAAGATACTGTGAGGGACAAAGAAGGGTGTCCCATCAGTTAATCTGGTGAGGAGAATTTTACATACATGATCAGAAATATGAGAAATAAGGAATATGAAAATTTTCCAAACAACCTCCTATGGACAGCTGCCTCCTTGCCCACTTATTTGACCACCACTGCAAATTGCCACATTTTGGTACATTGTTATCAGTATTCACTAGCTGAACAGCTTTCTTCCGCTATTTTTTTCTTCCTCTGCACAGCTTTCTTGTGTGAGCTTCCTGCGTTTGCTTTATTAACCCTATTCATTGCCTTTTAGACAATTGTAGCATGGTACATATTTGCTTCATCTGCATGCCTTTTCTTCCTATTTCTTGCACTTTGATTACATGTCTCAATGTTTCAGTTGTGACAGAATTCCTAAGATTCTTCCTCAATGCGGAGTTTTAAATTTTATGACCTTCTGTTTCTTTTCAGTCAGACAATTCTATGTACAACTGGATATGCTACACTTCTCCAGTTTGGGATGCTTGAAGTCTACTTAACCAGAATACCCAAAAATGTTTCCTTCTGTAAAGTTCCTGTATCTGATATTTTAAATGTTCCTCCCTCATTACACAAAAAGGCATACTCTAAATGCCATTTTCATTACTCATAAAACATTCAAAAGGTGGTAGCTGCATTTAAAGTGGCATAATTTTAATGAAGTACTACAGTTTTATTTTGTATATTTAATGAACTCTGTTTCTGTATGACAAGTGGGAACCCACAAGAACTTGTGGGAGGGCATCTCATTTTCCCCTCACTAGAGGAGGATTATAAAATGATGAATGCATTAAAGATAGCAGCGAGACGAAAAATTGTGTTGTAATAGGTGATTTTAACTACCCACACATTGATTGGGTCAATATGTGTTCAAGTCCGGAAAAAGAGATTGAGTTTCTAGACACTCTCAGTGACTGTGTTATGGAGCAGATGGTCACAGAACCTACCGGTGAGAGGCAATCCTGGATTGGTCCTGGATTTGGTCCACTGCTTGGGAACAGTGACCATAATGTTATTGAGTTCAACATGTGTATAAATAGGGAGTTGCCCAAAAAGACTAACACAACCACTTTTAACTTTAAAGGGGGTAACTTCTCAGATATGAGGGCACATCTGAAGAAGAAATTGAAAGGAAACGTAGAAAGGGTCAAAACCATTGGGAAACTTGGAGACTATTTAAAACTGCAATCCTAGAAGCTCAGAAAAAATATATATACCACAGGTTAGGAAAGGCACAAATAGGTGTATATAAAAAAAGCCTGCATGGTTAACAAACAAAGTAATGGAAGCTGTAAAAGGTAAGAAGGATTCCTTTAAGCGGTGGAAAGCTAGTCTCAGTGAGGTTGATAAAAGGGAACACAGGCTGTGGCAAATAAAATGCAAGTCTGTGATCAGGCAGGCAAAAAGGGAGTATTGGGAGCATATAGCAAAAGACATAAAGACCAACAATAAAACTTTCTTCAAATACATTAGAAGCAGGAAACCAGCCAGGGAGGCAGTGGGGCCCTTGGATAACCAAGGGGTAAAAGGAGTACTGAAGGATGATAGGGAAATGGTTGAGAAGCTAAGCACATTTTTGCCTCTGTCTTCACTGTGGAAGATGACAAGTGCTTGCCCACTCCAGAACCGCTGATTTTGGGAAGGGTGTTGAAAGACCTGAGTCAGATTGAGGTGACAAGAGAGGAGATCCTATTACTGATAGACAACTTAAAAACTGATAAATCACCAGGCCCGAATGGCATACATCCGAGAGTTCTGAAAAAACTCAAATGTGGACTTGTGGATCTCCTGACAAAAATATGTAATCTTTCATTAAAATCTGCCTCCATTCCTGAGGACTGGAAGGTAGCTAATGTCACTCCCATCTTTAAAAAGGGTTCCAGAGGAGATCCAGGAAATTACAGGCCAGCCAGTCTAACGTCGATACCGGGTGAGTTGGTGGAAACTGTTATTAAGGAAAGAATTCGTAGGTACATTGATGAACAAAAACTCTTGAGGCAAACTCAGCATGGGTTCTGTAAGGGAAAATCTTGTCTCACTAACCTGTTAGTGTTTTTTGAGGGAGTGAACAAACATGTGGACAAGGGGGGCCCAATAGATGTTGTTTACCTTGATTTCCAGAAAGCTTTTGATAAAGTCCCTCATCAAAGGCTCCTAACTAAGCTCAGTCACAAGATAAAAGGACAAGTCTTTTTGTGGATAAAAAACTGGCTAATTAATAGGAAACAGAGTGAGTATAAATGGGCAATTTTCTCAGGAGGATGGTAAGCAGTGGGGTACCACAGGGATCAGTACTGGGTCCGATGCTTTTTAACTTTTTCATTAATGATTTGGAGTTTGGAGTGAGCAGTGAAGTGGCTAAATGTGCAGATGACACAAAGTTGTTCAGGGTGGTGAAAACCAGGGGCCAAAAATCCTAACTATAAATACCTGTTGATGGGTTCCGAAGTGGTGGAGACTGACCAAGAGAGAGATCTTGGAGTCATAATAGATAACTCACTGAAAATGTTGAGACAGTGTGCGATTGCAATAAAAAAGGCTGATGCTATGCTGGGGATTATTAGGAAGGGAATTGAAAACAAATCAGCCAGTATCATAATGGCCCTGTATAAATCGATGGTGTGGCCTCATTTGGAATACTGTGTGCAGTTCTGGTCACCATACCTCAAAAAAGATATTATAGCATTGGAAAAAGTGCAGAAAAGGGCAACTAGAATAATAAAGGGGTTGGAACACTTTCCCTATGAAGAAAGGTTAAAGCGCTTGGGGCTTTTTAGCTTGGAGAGACGATAGCTGAGGGGTGACATGATTGAGGTTTATAAGATTATTCATGGGATAGAGCAGGTAGAAAAGGAAGTACTTTTCTCCCTTTCTCACAATACAAGAACTCGTGGGCAGTCAATGAAATTGCTGAGCAGTTTGGTTAGAACAGATAAAAGGAAGTACTTCTTCACCCAAAGAGTGAACACATGGAATTCACTGCCACGGGAGGTGGTGGTGGCTACAAGCATGGACGGCTTCAAGAGGGAATTAGATAAGCACAAGAAGAGGGACCCGCGATACTTGTGGGGGGGGCTCTTCAGGGCTGAGGAAGCGGGAGAGGCATGCACACGTGAAGTGGGGCTGCTGCACAAGGGTAGAAGCGCACCCATGGGTGAGGGAGCTGGCAA